AGTTATACTCGTAGACTGTCCAATACGAATTCCGTTGCAGCAATTGGTTTTTATGTAGCCATTGTGTGCCCAGGCCAGAAGAAAAATCGTGCACGATATTCACGTCATCGGTGCGTGCCGGTCTGACCCGGAGTTGAAAAGGCCTCTGCCAACGGAGTCCGCGTCCACCACCACCTCCTCTACTACAATGTTCGCTGCTGCTCGTCAATCCCTCGCCTCGTCGCTGCGGACAGCGTCCAGGCCTGTATTCCGCGCAGGCGCACGCCGCATGGCCTCCTCTTCGTCACATGCCGCTCCCAAATCGGACAAGCCTTGGGTCGTGCGTGGCTTTCCATTCATTTCCTTAGGGCCTCGTTTCCTTCACGACCCTCAAAAGCCTTTTAAAGTCCTTAATGATATTAACCAACCCCATTACAGATTGGTTCCGCCCTTGTCTTTGGTCCCGCCGTCAGTAGCGCGAGCTAAACTTTCTCTTATCCAAATCAAAGACTCAACGTCATTTCGATGCTTTCATTTAGTTCGCATACCTCGTTTCCCCCTCTGCGCGCGCAAAATCGCACTCTGCGCACAACGATGCCCATGACACCCCCGGGCACAAAACTCACCAAGCATCGGAACCCACCCCCGAACCCGAACCTGAGGCCGCTGCACCCGAGCCCATTATTGTGAAGGACGACGCTGGCGCCGCCGAAGCCGACGTTTCTGAATCTATCAAGGCGGCTGTACGTTTATATTCTAGTTTTCTGCTCATTCGACTTGCTCACTGACGTGAATGCACAGGCGGACGATGTCCCTAAAGCCTCCAACGCTGCTACCACCGAAGAGCCAAAAGAGACCTCCGCACCTGTAGAGGAGTCCAGCGCGGACACAGAGAAGGAGAATGGGACGCCCCAGGACAGCGGAGATTCCGAGCCCACGAACCAGGCTGTCGTGGTGCGTTTGCTTTATCTAGCATCTAGATTTGTGGTGCTGATGCGCCTTTCTTTAGGAGGGCGTCGAGCCGAAGAAGGCTGAGGAGTCGTCGTGAACGTGGCGTACATAGTGACGCTCGTACTTGTTTCTCGTCTTGTTGCGTCGTGCGAGTGCGCCGCTAGAGCAATGGCTTGAATCAAGAATCGACTTCAGTCGTGACGTTACTTGGAGTTCATGCCTTGACTTGTTAATGGGGCTCTGCCAGTCGAGATTCTGAATTGTGCGTGGTGGTTTCTATCGTTTACATCAACGCAGAGATTTCCGCAACTGCGTGGTCTTAAGAACCATTGCCCCGCGTTTCGACGGTGGTGGTCTATTAATAGAACGCACCGCGACGCGTCAAGCGCGTCGCTGGAACGACCTATTGCCTCGTCCAAATCCCTTTGCGCCTGTGCTCTGGCTTCGCCTCTCAAAAGAATATTCCTGTTATCTCGTCCTTGGTCTACCCCGGCCAAACCTGATACAATTTGTGGTCACTGCCAGACAGCCAGTGGAAAGAAAGCTGACATGATACAGTGTCAGCCACATCGGATAGGTATAAGAATCCGACATTTCTCGTTACCCGCTCTTTCCCATATTACGCCTAACAGCAATGTATAACGTTTTCAAAAATCTTTTCAGCGTTTTCAACTCCCTCGTTCCCGTCGTAGATCACATCTACGATACCACCTCCCCCCTCCTCACCTCCTCCTTCACCTACGAGGTGGATTTGACCTCGTGTCAATACAGCGCGCTTCTGTCAAGCGTAGCTGTGATAGCGGTCATCCACTTGACCCTCTCCCATCCCGACCGCCTCCATCCAACCTCTCGCAACACCTCCTCCCACAACCCGTACTCCTTCTTGGAGTTGCCCGGTCTCCCCCTCGTCGACGAGGAAAAGGCGCCTACCAGCAGTGCCTACGTCTCTCGCCTGGTCCGAGGCAGGGTCCAGTGCCCTCTTCCACCCGCGCCCGTCAGCAGTAGCGACTACATCCCGGTTTACTTCACACCAGTCGAGATTGTGTCGGCTCCTCAGGCTTGGGAGGAGGATTCGCAGGACTCGCCCAGCGCCATTCGTCAGCTCTGGACGACACAAATGTTCGTAGACATTCTCGCCACTACCTTCGCCGCACCCACGCCCGATTCGCCTCTCTTAGCGAGAATCGCCTTTGGCGAGTGCAGCTTTTTCGCGATGGTCAACGACGAGATTATCCAGCCCCTGGTGGAGAAGGTACATCCCGTCGTCGTTCGGTTCTCGGCGCCTCTCGTCCCCTTCGTCAACTCTCTCCGTGCGCGCGTGGTCTCCCTCAAGCCCGTTTTCGCCAACCGGCGACTGGTTCCTCTCAAGTACCGCGTCGAAACCACCCGCAAGTGCTTCGAAACGCACACCACGCGCGTGTGCCACTGCCTAAGCCTCCTCTTCGCCTACCTGGAGCCGGCCACCTGTCGTCTCAAGGTCCTTCTCGCCTACCGCAACTTCCTCGAGCGCCTCCGTGACCTCCAAGCCCGCAACCCCCTCTCCACCTGCGACTCGTGCCCCACCGCCACCCAATGGCGCAGGTTCGCAATCAACTTCGCATTCGTCGCCCTTCTTCTCTACGAGGGCATAGCCTGGATATTGCGTCTTCGCCACGCACACCGCGCCGCTGCAGCCGCCGACAATGAGCGCGAACGGATCGCTCTGACGACCCGAAATCGCCGACAACGTCGGAAAGCTGAACAAGCAGCGCGAAGCGTACCTGCGCCCAAGTCGACGTACCATGAGAGGCTTGCGAAGGAGAGAGCGATTCTGAGGGAGTTCAACAGCCCCGCAGTCGCCGCTGGAAACGGGGAGGAATTGGGTGTACCGGCGACGGAGGCGCTTGTGGGGCTCGCGAGGCGGTGGTGGTTGAAAGGTGCGCGACGCTGAGAGCTTCACCATTCCTCTCTCTCCCTCCCATATCCATCATCTGCTCCTATCTCTCCACCTTTACCATCTCATCTCGCCGCTCTCATCTTTTCTCCCTCTTCCTCCCATATCCATCATCTTCTCCTATCTCTCCACCTCCACCATCTCATCTCGCTGCTCCCATCTTTCTTCCCATCTTTACTCTCTCTTTCCCCTGTCTCATACACTTATACCCGACCTTCTCTCCCTTCTCTCTCTCCTTCTCGTCGCCAACAGCCAATCCACACATATCCACACATACACAGACTAGTCACAGCCTATCCATAACCTATCCACAGCCTATCCCCTGTCCCCCTGTAATATTAGTTGTATGTATTGCAAAGTATCGCGGATTTCGTAGAAGATCTCAAGTTCTATCCCCGACTTCAAGCTCAAGTGTGACGACTCGATCGTACACAAAAAGTTGGCCCGTTGCTTTGCCTTTTGCATTGAACTTTCTGCGCCATCGTGGCCTTTATGGAGCTATGTCGGGCTACCGCTTTCGCACTTTGGACGTGGTGCTATACCAGTGTGGTGCCAGACAAGTTCACTAGACATGACTGACTGTGCGACGCGTCTCGACACTCTGCGACGTATGGAGCTATGTCGTACCACTAATTTCGTATTGCAATACTTTGGACGTGCTTCTACATCGTGGTCCTGCCAGACGACGTCGACTACGCGGCCACCGTGTGACGCGTCTCGACACGTATACATGAACAAATACTGTGACCTCCTCTTCCATCTTGCTTCCAACGTTCTAACCTCAAATTTCTGGTTCCGTCTACTCGTTCCTGCGCGAGAGTCTTGGCGTTTGCTGTTTGTCTCTTTAAGAGCTGGCTGTTCATTGTGACCAACATTCTGGCCGACCCCGGGACACCCGGACCGATTTCAAGAGTCAGCTTTTCTCACGGATGATAGATCCTTGACGTGCCTCCTTCTCCTTGAAGTGTCTCATTTTTTACTTCAGGACGAAAATATCTTTGACGGCAACCTTTTGACTGCATTGCACGCATCTCTTTCAAACTTGAACTTGAAGGGAAATTGAACTCAGGCCACCGCACAGTGACTTTTCTATCAGGGCCTCTCCCACTTCATTTCTAAAGCCATGATCCCCCAAGTCATGAGTGGAACCAATGCGCCTACTACCGGTGAGGTCGTCGAGTTACACGCATCGTATCACTTCCGAGAGTTAGTATCCCGCGTGCGTCATGACTCAAATGTGCTCTTTTTCTTTCGCTCATTTCCATGATTCTGCCTTGAATTTAGGTCGAAAATACGCTATTCAAAGTTCTACGACATCACTTCGAGTCGGATTCAGATGTATTTCGGGACATGTCCAAGCTCCCGCTAGGCGCCGACATGGCAGACCAATCCACCTCCAAGGAATCACCGCAAACGATTTTGTGGCCTTTCTAAAGCTTATCTGCCCTATGTCAGTGCTGTACTTTCAATTTCTCCTGCTAATATCTGAACTTCTGGGCACTGTACCAGGCATTTTCGACGTGTGGAAATCCTAAAACCATCGGAATGGTTGTCAGTGTTGAAGCTGTCGACCATGTGGGAGTTCACGGAAGCTAGGGACCTGGCGATAAAGACCCTGACAACAATGAAGTTGGACCCACTTGTGAGGGCCGAAGCAGCGAGCGTGCACAGGGTTCCTCAGTGGTACTGGTGCGCCCTTCGTGAACTGGGCGAGGCAGCCGAGGGTCCTTTTTCAAAAGTCTGTGCTCACCTCGGACTGGACTTTGGCCTGAAGGTTGCAGAATTGCGAGGAAGGATTGCAGTTACAACTACGCCATCAAAGGCGACCTGCCGACACTTCACAGCATCCTCACGTCATGCAATCCGGCCATGAAGCCTGCTACAGCCACCAAGGCTCTTCCAACCCTCGCGACGACCGCCGATCGTTCGCAGACGCTGTTTAGTCTCGGGGATAGCTCGAGCATGAAGCGTTCCATCAGTCAATACGGCACAGTACCCCAACGTTTTGCTTCCTTCTGCACCCATTCTCGATTTTATTGCGGAGGTCTTTTCAGAGGAGGTGAAGGACGTTCCGATTTTCACCTGCAGCGCTCGTTGACCGCGCCGTCAGCTTGTCTGCTAAGATATCAATCTTTGAGCCCGCCTAGCTCAATCGGCTAGAGCGTCAGACTTTTAGGGCTCTACGAGATTCCCAGACATCTGAAGGCTGCGAGTTCGACCCTCGCGGTGGGCTAAGTTATTCACTTTTTACGGTTGATCTAAATCCGGAGATATTCTAACTGCGCCACATCTAGTGAATCGTAACGTAGATGATCTCAACGGAGTGCTGGCACTCCAGATGTATTTGAGAAATACTACAATAATCCGGGCCAGACACCACTTGTCATGCACTAATCGAATACTACTGCTTCAACATGAATGAAATAAGAGGGAAACACTATATACAATACAAACAAGGACATGCTTCTTTACCGACAAGACAACATCGCGAATGATCAGATGAGACAGTAACTTCTTGCGGATGCTTTGGTATTATCACCAGGCACGTCGGTCCGATTCGGGGTTGTCGGGTAGCCCTCGCCGAGGGTCGTCGATGTAAACGCACGCCCATGGATCCCTGAGAGAGTATCTTCAATATATGGCGCAAAATCGGCGGAGGTCAATGGCATGTGGGGGGGATGTGGGGAGGATTGAATGCCACCAAGTTATGATCTATGTTGCACTCTCCCTACTGTAGTATTTATGATGTCAATGGCAGGTCGCGGACGTCGTTGGCTGCAAATCGGAGGCTTTAATCCGCACGCTACTCATCTTCATCTATCATACTTGAATGCGAGAATCTGGCGAGCTTTTGGATGTAAAGGGTAAGTGACTTGTATGTGGCAAGACTGCCTCTCGGAGCACGGATGGCATGTTATAACCGCCTGACTTCAACTTCGTTCCCTTTCTGCAATGAAGGTCATTGTTAGGGCCAAGTGCCAAGGCATCAGTGCAAACTGAGGGAACGTCAACAGCTGATTTCGCGTTGTTTGGCAACGGCTCTCGGCAGGTCTGCCAGCAAACTCATCATAAAATGCCTCAAGCGCCTTTGTGCCCCTCACCACTCTCCTTCCGTTCCCTTTCACTCAAGAGCCGCGTGAGTTCTTTGAGATTCCTGTTGTCTAAGTCTCCATTTAACAGGATCCTTGCAGGCTCTTTTTTCGGTCCTAGTCACATTCATTCTAATTTCCCTCAAGTGCATTTAATCCCCTGAATAATTCCACAATGCGTTTCTTCGCCGTCGCCGCTGCCCTCTTCACCGTTGTCTCCGCCGAGACCTTCACTGTCCTGGTTGGAGAGAATGGAGGACTCACTTACACCCCCGAAAGGTGCGCTGATCCTGTCGATCCTTCATCAATCACTGGTTTATATTTATCCCCTCCTCAGCGTTGTCGCCCAGGTTGGCGACACTGTTGCTTTCCGATTGTGAGTATCATTTTATTTTTCAGACTGTGATCAATATCTGACTGGGTCTACAGCCTCTCAAAGAACCACGTCAGTCGAATACTCAAATGCTGCGCTTCAGTCTTCTAAACGATTTTTAGACTGTCACGCAATCCACCTTTGCGAAGCCTTGTGAACCACTGTTCGTCCATTCTTCTCGAGAATTTATCATAGTGTCACATTATTTTTCAGGACCACGCCGACTATTGGCATTGATTCGGGCTTCCAAGCCGTTCCTGCTGGTGCCACCGAATTCCCCGAATGGTCATTCACTGTCGAGGATGACAAGACTCCCTTCTGGTTCTTCTGCAACCAGGCGCCGTGAGTTTTGTCATCTTTCTGACTACTCGCTTCGTCTCATCATTTCTTTTCTTCAGCCATTGTGCAAGGGGAATGGTCTTCGCCGTGAACCCCACTGCGGAGAAGACCTTCGATGCTTTCAAGGTTGGCTTTGGTTGCATATTCTCTTCATCCACACACTCATCCATCGTTCTTTCAGGCAACCGCCATCGGTGGTACCGCTCCCGCCGCGCCTGGCGGCTCGGCCCCCGGAACTGGCACCTCAGCGAACCCTACCGGCACTGGGGCATCTGGGTCTGATTCCCCCGCACCCACCAACAACGGTGCCCGCATGGTATCTGGAAACGGTGCTGCACTACTAGTGACTCTGGGTCTTGTTGCTGGCCTCGTACTCTAAACGTTTCTCTTGGGATTAGGAATTATATGAATGTCTAGTCAAAACATAACTCTACTTGAGTACTTTGAGTATTGGCCATCTTCAACGTTTTGTGTGTGGTGTAATCACTCGGGAGGTCAGAGACGAATCCCCTCCCCCCCCCCTTCCCGCGTAGGATTGCAGCTAGTCGGGGTGAAGGAGGACAGATGAGGGCCCGGTTTCACGAATCCATTTTCACTGCTTCGACTAGATTCTCGCCAGTTTGACGCAAGAGACATGACGCATAGAGCCAAGATATCAACAATGGAAACACGACACCATCTTCTTTGTCAGAAGATTCAAAGAAGATGAAAGAAAAATACCGGTTTTTGGAGAACATCGAAAACAAAGGAGTCTTTTTCCAGTATTTTTCAAGTCCTTTGTCCAGGAACATGGTGCCACTCTTCCAGTGCAAGTAGTTCTGTGCCATTCAAGAAGATGATAATCCAGACATCATCCTCGCGCTACGCGCAAAATCGTAGCCAATGTCAGAATGACTGACTTCGACGTTTTAAGGTGCTCACTTGCAACAGCGGAATCCGCCACAGCGAAGAGGATGGATCACTGTGATACAGGGGGATCGGTCATTATGGCAGTTCAGTGACATTTGTGATACTACTCTGGGATGGAGTAGTAGTAAGTACCTACCACACGTCCTCCAACATAGGGACAGTAGTCCATAAAGACACCACAGGAGACACTGAAGCTGGGCCCTGGCGTTTTTATTCAAAGCACATGATGTGCTGTGCTCGAGTAGTTTGACATGGACAAGAGAAGGCTCATAAATGGTGCACGGTATGTATGCATGTCAACAAGCTACGGGTACAGACTGCCAGGGTTTGCTGCACCATCGCTGCTAATAGTAGCTAGGCCCGACAACGAGGAAGGTCAAGCCATCTATTGTTCAGGGATCCGGATAATAGATGTGGCTGAAGGTGGCAAGGCATCAAACGTAGGGCAAAGTTTCTTCCAATCCTCTTGAAATTCGCGAATGTGGCGTTAGTATCGTATAGAAAGGGAGATGGATGGCATGCGCTTACCCGGTGGCTGGACGGTAACAGGGGTGCTTCCGGGATCTTCCGCAAAGACGACAGCAAGACCCCTGGATGTAAGTGAGTAAGATGTATTTTGATGCACTCACAAGGTTCACTTACACGTCGAGATGCCATTCAACGTGGCTGCGATGGTTCGTGAGCGACAGATGAAATAAGAAATGCATTTGACTTACCAATGAAGCAACCAAGGTCCAGGGTTGTCAGTTACGAAACGAATAGTGACGTTGCTTCCCGCCTCGCCGATGTTGACAACATCGCGCCTGACGGGATTCCAGTAATTGTCTGTCGCCTTTGTACCTGCGCTCCTGATCACGGAGAATGCATGCTGGGCAGAGGCCGCGTTTAAGAAGAGTCAATACCGAACGAAGAAGCCAACGCACGCCGTGCAAGTGGAATGGATGCTATAGAAAGACAGGTCATAGTAAGTCGAGAAACTTCAGATGGGAGGCATTGAGGAGATAGTCCGTACCGGTCCTCCTGGAGAGCCTCCTGGAATAGTGATCTCAATAACTTTATTCCTTGGGAGGGTAAAAATCGACCCAGTAGGCATGAGCTGCTGCGGGGTCTTGGCTCCAGAGAGAATCTGAAGAAGAACAGGGACACTAGGAGGCGCGTAGGATGCGCCATTCATAGAATACCTGAAGGTTTGGAAGTCGACGCCAATATCAAGGTTGATGTTTACATCGGCTGCACCACGACGCGGAGCGCCAGGCGCGCGCGCGTCTAGAAGAAGAGGGTGAAGCCCCGACTCTTCAAGCAACTTTCCTCCTTTCTTCTCCGGTGTCGTCGGATCGACCTCTTTGGCACCCTTGTAGCGAAGGATCGCAGAGTTAATGCCACCTTTGAATCCTAAAGGCAAGTCGCCCTTCCCGATACTCGGTAACGCGCGAATCCAGTAATTGTCGACCTTCTGATTGGCGAATAAGACGAAGGAATAGCGTTGGCCTGTTCTCAGGATGGTCTTAGTTGAAAACCATCCTCCACTAATCGCAACAGCGGCGGACGCACCTGTGAAGATTTGGATCTTGTCGGCATAGTATGGGATAATATTTTGGCTGTCAACTTCAATCACGAGGAATGGGTGACCGTCGATTGAGAAGATGTAATTAGGTTCGCAGGCGACCGAGATTAGCCGAATGCGATAGCGCTTGAACCTCTCGACGCTGATGATTGAGAGCGGCACTGCTGGCCCTTGATCTGCGCGTCCCTTCCCGTTGATCAAAGTCGAATGGGCGAATGGGATTGTCACCACTGAGGGCGCTGGTATGTGGTACCTAAAATAGACGAGTTTAACCATTGTTGTGGAAACAGGATGGGAAGCGCACCATTCTCCGACGGTGATAACAGTGTTTTCGTCGTCGACTGTTGAAGGTCGATAACAGGGTAAAGAACGCTCGGGGACAGAATCGGAATGCTTACCGTCGTACAACCACCTGTAGGGGTCATTATCATCGTACACGACGAAAGGTCCACGGAGGCCGTCGCAATACTGTGTCGCTGTGATGACAGTGAGTGGGAGGCGCAAATTAGGAGAGGGATTCAACACACAGAAATGAGAGTGGTACCAGTATGTTCCAGCCTGGTTATTGACCGCAAAGTCATACACGAAGGATTCCTTGGGAGAAATGGGGCACTGGCTGACACCAACAGTACCATCGGCATAGTTCGTTCCCTTCTGAAAGAATCCGTGCCAGTGCTGAAGAGGGTGATGTCAAGTACGTTTCTTCACTGTGAGGTCAATCACACGTACAACACTAGTCGCCCTTTGCATTGTTGGATCTGTCAAGGCATTTTCCACGTTGAAGCGAAATCTCGATCCCTGTAAGAACGGTCACGGAATATTCATGTTGTATGGCGGCCACCACGTACCTTCTTGCCAGTCAGCAAAGGGCCGGGGTGTTGGCCATTAACCAGCACAGCTCTAGATCATCGTTGAGTCAAGGCGTTGATAGCACTGGAATTGAACCCCGCACGAGCGAT